TTGTTGTATTTCATACAGAATATTTCAAGCAATCTGGATCATCTTTGTAGCCCTGTCCCCATCAGAACCCTTCCATAGCCCTGCCACTGGAACCCATATACTTTGTCCTGGGTGTTAAGGCCCACTGGGTCAAGTCAGTACCCCTAGACATTCCCCAGTGCAAGTCCATCCACTTGCAGTCCTAGTCAGATCCCTTTCATTCGTCTATCCAAACATCTATCATTTTCTTTTTCTTTCTTTTTTTTTTTTAACAGAGTATAGGGTGGTGTTTATTTACAGAGGAGTGCCCCCCACCTTACAGCTGTACTTAAATACAGATCCTGTGTCTTCCCAGCAGCCACAGAAAATGGTGAGAGACGTGCCTCCTGGCATTCTCTCAGAGCCCATTCTTTCACCCATAGTGTGTCCTAAGGACCCAGACTTCCAACAGTCTCCATCTCAACTTCCGTTTTGGTTGGACCTCACCTCTCCTATTGAAAATTTCCAAATAAATGAGGATATTGCTAGTGCCCACCACAGGCCCAGATTCCGTATGAACTTACCAGCCATGGTTGTTGAGCAGGTCCTTGAGATTAGTTATGCCAATTAGATATGTAAGGAAGTCTATGCACAGATGGGTTTCTCTGTACCTGGTGAATCATGGTAGAGACTTATCCTCTGATAACCAACCATGAATGGAGGTAGACTAAATCACTGAGCCACTGTGTAGAGGGGAGTTGCTCAGGTGGCAGCTCTTTTGTGGGACTAAAAAACAAACCTTTCATGTTCAGTTTGAGACTTGCTCTTTGAGTGCAGCAAATCCTGCTGGGAATGAGCGTGACTCATTTCTGCCCCTGAAGGATCTCAGAGAGCCAATGGCGAGGGCAGGATTATATGACTTTACAGCACAACAGAGGCAAGCAAACTGTCCGAAGAAAAGTAGAAAGCTCTATGGCAGCCTGAGAGCAGGAGAAAGGAACAAGTTCTCCTCTGGGAACTCGTGCCCATGTGCCTCTCTGGAGTGTGAGTCTGTTTTGTGAGTTCTGAGGCACTCAGGCTGAGAAATCAACTTTACAATGGCCTCGGTTGAACAGAGTTTTATGGGAACATATTCAGAACTCAGGGTTCATGAAGTTCTCACAGATACAGTCTGGCCAGATAGTAATCTAATGACAAAATTAAAAAACAAATAACAAACCAGAAACTATAAATAAGACACAAAAAAAGAACTCTGGAGAAAGGACAAGAACGTAGTTCGACTCTGAGGTATTCAGACATTAGAATATTCAGAATATAAAACCAGCACATTAAAAGTATTTGAATAAATAAGAAAGGTCATTAAAAGCATAGACAATGAAAAGGATCTTTTTTTTTTTTTTTTTTGAAACCATTCCTGGTACATTTGACAAAAAAAAAAAAAATCTATTAGAACTGAAGAGCAGTGTAATAAACCGGAGACTGCATGGCTATAGAAACAGCAGAGAGTGGCACAGTGGGAGAAACGAGAAGCATAGTTGAGTGACTAACAGACGGAGGAGAGGGTCAGATGCTTTCAAAAACCCAGAAAGACACGAGACCAAGAATTGGGAAATGGCATTCCAAAAGACAATGGTCAAGAATTTTCTAGAGCTGATGGAAGCAGTGTAATAAACCGGAGACTGCATGGCTATAGAAACAGCAGAGAGTGGCACAGTGGGAGAAACGAGAAGCATAGTTGAGTGACTAACAGACGGAGGAGAGGGTCAGATGCTTTCAAAAACCCAGAAAGACACGAGACCAAGAATTGGGAAATGGCATTCCAAAAGACAATGGTCAAGAATTTTCTAGAGCTGATGGAAAATTTTACCTCTTAGTTCGAGAAACTTGGAAAAAGGGTGAAAAATGAAAACGATCACAAACACTGAAGTCAGTCACAAAACACCAGTGATAAAAACACATTAAAAATAGAGAAAAAAGTCAAACTACCTACGAAAAGAATGACAAAGAACAGAGAGCTGTCTTCCTGGAAGTGAGAATAAAGGCTGTCTACCTGGCCAAGTGCCACAGGAGAACAAGGGCCAAATAATTTTCTTTTCATCATTGACGCCTCCTAAAGGAAGAGTTGAAAAGCATCTCTGACAGAGAGAAGCTTTCCGTTAGGTTGAGGAGGGTGACAGAAACAGGTGATAAGCTCTGGGATAAAGAAAATGGGCTTTGATTGTGTAGTGATGCTATCCAGAGGTGAGGAGTTAGAAAGAATGAGTCACTGGGCTACAAAGCCAGGCAGGGGAGAAAGGTTATAATAGGTATACAGATCTGAGGTTGAATTGTCTGGGAGAGGGTCATGACAACAATGTCTTTTAAATTCCATTAACTATTAATAGGATGTTAATAGCCTCAAAACACTCATCTCTAGCTCTGAGCTGTCCCATTACCTGAAGACTAACCTATCCAACTTCATACCCCGTCAATCTCCTACTGAGCACTTCAAATTTAGCATGACTCCTCCGTCCTCTTCGTTCAGCTAATGTCAACCCTTTAAGGTTATCAGCACCGCTCATTTAGGTTCTCCTTTCTCTCTGGAAGAGGAAAGAATATGGTCCATTTTTATTGTTTTCTTGGTAACTGTTGAATATTGACTTGTGCCAGGAACAATACTAGGTTCTGGAGATAAAGCCATTGATAAAATTAAGCCCTTTCCTTCATGAATTTTACTTTTTATTATAGCCAAGACATTTAAAAAGAGAGAAAAACCATAATATGACACATGACAAATACCATGAAGGGGAAGAATGCAGGGCGAGGGACACAGTAACTTGGAATGGCATTTGGGTGGTCAGGCTGGTCCCCTGTGAGAAGCTGACTTTGGAGCAGAACCCTGCAGGATGTCAGCTAGGAAGCCCTTTGGAAGGGGGCTGCAAAACATTTGAGTGAGAGAACAGCAGAGGGAGCAGCCCTGCAGGAAACAACAGGGATTCAAAATATATGTGAAATGTCAATAAACCAACCCACTCAGGTCAGTGACAGCAACAAACATAAACGTGCCAATCTCACTAATTAGGAAACAGAGATGGGCAGATTGGGTTTTAAAGCCTCATTTGTCTGCTGCTTTGGAGTGATCACAGGACAGAGGAAGAGCACAAAAGATAAAGCAGACAGATGTAACCAAGAGAATCCAGGTGTGTCTAAAGCAAGGACAGATGAATCATCTGCTAAAGGCAAACCAAGTCAAAGCATGAATCACGATACTAACTGCATCACAAGATAGTAAGGTAAAAACAAAACTCCCAGTCCTCCAACCTACCACAGTATACCATTTCAGGAAATATGCACATATCATGTGTATATTAGGGCATGAACAATAGACCACACTTTTAGGTTATATGGAGATGGTGGCTGGGGGTGGAGGTGGTGATTTGACAAGTACATAAAATGTTTTCAAGATTATGAATAAGTTTTTAAATATTTTAAGCTGGAAAATGATTTCATGGGGATATCATTTCATTATATGCATTCCATGTAAAAAATAGTTCACAGAAGGCTGGGGAGTTGGCTCATAGGCTAAAAGTGCTTCCTGCCCAAGTCTGGTGACTTGAGTTTGATCCCCAGAACCCACTATGGAAGGCAGAAACTGACCCCTGAATGTTGTCCCCTGATCTCCACATAGGCACAGTTACACATGGATGCCCAGCAATCACATACACATATACATGTATATACAATAATAATAAATAAAAATTTTAAAAGTTCACACACATGAAAACAAAAATGAAATTTTATAGCTTCTTGCTGGGGATATTGATCACTGGTAGAATGTTTGCCTAGCATGCCCAAGGCCCTGAATGCAAACCCCAGTAACACACACACACACACACACACACACACACACTCACTCACTCATACTCAGATGAAGCAAAACAGAAAACCCAATGCTAAACCACTCCCTCAAGTCATTTTACACAGCTTTTTAATGTGTCAGAGCTGCCCACCAGAACAGAATACCAGGAAGGTCTAGGTTACTGAGGACAGGAGGAAAAAAGGCAAAGCTCACAGGCAAGACAACTGATAACACAGAGATATCCTACAAAGGCAGATAAGAATATGCTTGGGATTCTTAGATAAGTAAGTTACTGGCATTTCTGGCAGCTGCAAAAATGTCCATGAATATAAAATCTTGCAAGGATCTTCCTTGCATTTCTGGAACAGTGATACAGCAAAGCACATTAGCAGTGTTCCATGGATGTCAGCAAGCTATCCCTGGCCGTGATGGAGCAGGGAGAGAGGAAGGGAGAGAAATGAGGTAGGGCTTACTCCCCAGATTCCCCTAGGTAAAGAAGCTGCTGCGTCGCCATTATTTTTCACTTAAGTGCTGTCCTGGTCTGCGCTCACCTCAAGTTCATCTCCTGGGCACAGCTGTCCCTCCAGGAATGCCTTGCCTTGCCATTCTGTGCATCACTCATCCCTCTGGCTTTGTGTCTAGCAGCCAAGGTGGTCACTCACTCACTGGAGGATGCTGGCTTTAAAGCGACATAGAGAAGCCCTACCAACTCAGGAACATGCTGTGTCAGGTGTCTCCTTGGATAATGTTTACCGCCAGCAGTGCGCCATAAACAGCTCAAATTCTAGTTTGAGTGTCCGAGTTTCAGCAGTGGTGGACGTTAAATACGTTCAAATGACACTTTACCAGCAATTCACTCGCCAGTGCTTCTGTTTATGTCAATCAGATGAGTAACGTGCAGTGGAACCGAGGTGAATCATTTGCGCAACACAGGTTCATAATGAAAACTCCCGCAGGCGGTTCTCCTTTTCTGATTCTCCCCTCCCTTGCTTGTGACTGGATGAGGGTGGGGGTTAGGCAGCTGCCGCAAAGCTCCTTGTAGCACTGCCAACCTTTGACTTTTGTGGTATTTATTCCTGGGCTAGGAATTGCTCTTGCCAGGGGCGGCAAAGACCAAATGTGCCATTTGGCTGGAGGGCTGCCAGACTGTCCGCCTGGCGCGCACCGGAGCGCACCCAGCTTCACTCCCAGCGCCAGCCGACGCCTTCGAAGGACCAGGTGGACCGACCGCACCTGGCAGGGAAGCGCCTGGGTTCCTGCAACGAGGTGGGCGGTCACCCACCCGGTTGGGGTCGCCGAGGCTCTGAAAACACGCTGTAATTTTTCTGGCCGGACGCATGAGGCACAGAGTGAAAGCAGTTGCGTTCTCACTGCCTCTTTCGTGAGGCAGAAACTCTGTCCAGCACTAGGGAGCCCCAAGAGAGCCCGAGCGTGGCAGAAGCCCTGGGAAGAAGCTGGGAGGGAGCCAGCGGCGCCAGAGCAGTGGGGCGGTGGCTGCCAGCGCGCAGGAAGCGCGGCGACCCTCTCCAGCATCCAAGGAGTGCATCTCTAGGCTCCTGTGCACCGCGGCTCAGAGCAACAGGTGCGATCCCAAGGGATTCCAGGAGCGGGGAACCAGGCCAGCTGGGGACTGGAACCTGCAAGGCACACAGAGAGGGCTCTCCACCTGCCGGCTGCGGCCAGTGACTCCCGCCTCTCTGGCTTGGTGGCCGCGTAGTAGTGGGACTCGCCCAGACTGGGACCTCTGTGTACTGGAGACCGCCCGCCCCCGCACGAGAAGGCTCATCTCCTGGCTCACACCCCCGCCTTCTCTTTAGCCAGGCACCTCACGAAGACTGAGCTACCCGGCACAGCCCCAGGCGTAGCACTCGAGGTCTTGCGCATCGCGGCAGACTCCCGCAGCAGACACCCGCTCTCGCCGCTCTGGACTGGACCACCTGGCCACCCTCAGCTACTCTCAGCGACTCCCAGAGCCTGCTTTCCCGGTAAGCACCCTTCCTATCGCGCTTCACTGCACAGCGCCCCAGGGGGGCTCAGTAAGAGATGGAACTGGCGGCTTTGAACCTCAGCGAAGGGAACGAGAGCGGTCCAGAGCCTCCTTCCCTGGACTCCACGCCTCTGTTTGGCATCGGCGTGGAGAACTTCATCACGCTGGTGGTTTTCGGCCTGATCTTCGCACTGGGAGTGCTGGGCAACAGCCTGGTGATCACCGTGCTGGCGCGCAGCAAGCCGGGCAAGCCGCGCAGCACCACGAACCTGTTCATTCTCAACCTGAGTATCGCTGACCTCGCCTACTTGCTCTTCTGCATCCCCTTCCAGGCCACGGTGTACGCGCTGCCCACCTGGGTGCTGGGTGCCTTCATCTGCAAGTTCATCCATTACTTTTTCACTGTGTCCATGCTGGTCAGCATCTTCACCCTGGCCGCGATGTCTGTGGACCGCTATGTGGCCATCGTGCACTCGCGGCGCTCCTCCTCCCTCAGGGTATCCCGCAACGCGCTGCTGGGCGTGGGCTTCATCTGGGCGCTGTCCATCGCCATGGCCTCGCCGGTGGCCTACCACCAGCGCCTCTTCCACCGGGAAGCCAGCAACCAGACCTTCTGCTGGGAGCAGTGGCCGAACCAGCTCCACAAGAAAGCTTATGTCGTGTGTACCTTCGTCTTTGGCTACCTGCTGCCGCTGCTGCTCATTTGCTTCTGCTACGCCAAGGTGAGTGGGGATCGCTTGGCTCAAAGGGAGCCATTGGTGTTCCTGCACCTTTGGCTGAGTGAGGCATCCCTGCCCCTCTACTCTCTGGCCCACCGCATTCCACTTTGCCCTAGCCTCTGTCTGCACCCCTACAGTGGTTGTTAACTTGGAGTTTGAGCTATGTTGAAAGTTTGTGGTTCATGTCTAGGAATTGGGTAGTGCAGTTTTGGGCTCTCTCCTCTCCTTGCTGGGCACTGCAGCTCTGAGAGCCTCGAGGTGCCCAGTGGCAGTTGTGTGTTCCAGATCTGCTGCGTAGAGAGTTAGAATCAGCTCGGGTTCAGTAGCTTTCAAACCAGTTCTTAGAAAATAGCTCGCAGCAAAACAGAGGGAACCACAGGGAACTGCAACCCGGTCCTCCCTCTGAGTGAGTGGAGACTTGCTGGAATATCAGTCCTGGAGTTGGTGCTCTTCCCTGGTGCACAGGGGCCCCTGAATGCTCAGGCTTTGCCAGGAATCTAGACTGTGAAGTTCCTGTTTATTACAGCCAGCCTTTTGGATTTTAGTTTAGCTTCCTAAAATCCAAAAGGAAATGCTACTTCTTTGCTGAGATATGACAAGAGTCTCCAGGTAAAAGTGAGTGGGGAAACAGGTGCTGCCCCCCTTCTCCAAAGTTGTGTAGAGGGTGTCAGGGATTCAGGTGGAGAGCTGACTCTCACTCTGGAGAGGGGCAGCAAGCATGCACAGCTGGCTGAGCTGCCTTACCTAGCTCTTGTTCTGTCCTGTCTTCAAGTATCTGGAGGCACACATTCAGGAATCACACAGCATTGGGTGTTTGTATTGATCAAAAAGTCTTACACTTTGTAGCCAGTTTCTGGGCTAAAAGTCAAAATGTCCTTGGGCCTGCTAGCAGTACACTCTGTTCCAAAGGCCGAAAATGTCAAAAGTATTTGGGAGCTTGTATCTAATCCTTAAAAGATTTGGGGGTTACCTCTTCAGTGGGGGGAATGTTGTAGAGGAGGGAATGGGCATGGATTTGATCAAAACACCTTATATGCATGTATGAAATTCTCAATAAAGCTTTTGTAAAAGTTAAAAAAAGTCTTAAATTTCAATGGTATAGCTTGTTGATGTTTGATTAATGCATGTTTAATGATCGTATGATGGTGTTTCTTGGGGGTAACCTCAGGGCCCCCGCTACCTTTTCAGGGTACCATCACCAGAAGACACTGTAAGGCAAATTCTGAAGTTTCCTTCCAATTTCATCTATCCCAGTCTATTTCTAACAAAACTGTGACTGTGGGAACATAAATAGCTTCCTGTGCTAGAAAGATAGTGATTTATTATATCCCATTCATAAGGCACTTTTTCTCCAGCAAAGGAGAATATTTAAAGGAAGCCACCTTCCACATGTATACCATCAGTGTATATTTCTCAATGTTACCTGAGGGGATGGACTATAGCAAATGATGTCCACGGGGAATGCAAGGCAGGCAGCCTATCTATCTGGAAGAGACCTTTTGTACACATGAAGCAAAAGTTGCTGTGCACAGTGAGCTGTGGGATGTGTGCACATCTCAGTTAACTTGCTCAATGGGCCCCTGGGTGGGTGATGTCCTCTCCATTTTACTAGCAAGGAAAGAACTTTCAGAAGGGTGTGGCAACTGACCCGATGGTTCAGGAAGAATTTCAAGAGATGACAATTGATGAGGATCTGGAGGACAGGAGACTTGGGACTAGAGCTATTCTTAAAATATTTGGCTCTTAAATTCACAATTCCTGCTTTGGAACTGAAACATGTTTTTTTTTTTTTCATTTCCCCCATAGCCATACTCCTGCCCCCCCCCCCATTACTTTGATCTTTTTGGAAATAACAAGGTAGACTTTTAAGACCAAACAGGCTGTCATTGAAGAGTCTACAGAACACAAAGTATGAGAAGCTTTTAAAAATCAATGAATAAAGTTAGATGATCATTTGACTATTTTTCCATTCAGAAAAAGTTTGCTTCTAAGCAGAACCAGAAAAAAAATTTTGTGTCAATGATAATATTTGCAAATTCATTCTAGGTCCTGAACACCTGGAGCTAAGTTACCTGGAGTTGTTGTTGTATCAGGCACTAAGTGTATGCTCTGTAGTTAAGGATTTCGACACTGTAGTGTTTGGTTCAGGACTGGTTTTATGTGTTCAAGGACTAGGGCTCATGGTCAACGTGAGGAATCACAGATGGCCAAAAAGGCACTTGAGATTTAAGTGCATTGTAGTTTTTTTCTTTTTAAAACTTAATGAATGAATCAAATTCCAGAAATGCCCTCTGTAGCACTGTTGAGTGAGGCAATGCTTTGCATCTGGCAGTCCCCGACAGTCCCTGGGCAGGAGGATGTACTTTAGTGGCTGACCCAGGTCTAGTGCTCCCTGAAGATGACTCCCCTCTGTGCTGTAGGACTCTTGCCCTCCATTCTCTTCCCTCAGTATGTATTCTGGAAACCCCTTGGATCTGATGTGAGGATATACCCTTGTTATGCTCACCCTACCATGCTCCACCACACCCCCAGCATGACAGTGGCTCAGGTTTAGAGCAGGTGTCTCTCTTCACAGAGTACAGAATGGCCAAGAAATGCCACTGTGCCACCACCATCATCTTCTTAAGAGATGAAATCATAACTGATCCTGATACCTCCATTCTCTCCCTGGATGGCAAAACCTTAGAATCTGTCACACCATGCCATCATGTGCTCATAGCCTAAACTGTAGAAGCGAAACAGAGATATGGAAAGCACACTCGAAGATTGTCTCCAGTTACCATTCAGCAGCATTCAATGTTATTAGTTCTTAGGTGTTTTGAAGTTGTTAAACTGGGACCTTGCTTAGCTGGTTTGACTGTGTGCATATTTGAAGCAGCATCAAGAATCTGGCCACCCATGCAGGTGTCCCTCCCTGATTTCATGTGGTGGTCTCTCCTGTGGTGGTTCCTGCGTCCTTTGTCCTCAGTGATTTGTAGTCTTGGGGTCTGTAGGGCTGGCAACCAGCTGGTCAGTCCTGTCTCCATCAGCAGGTTCCCACCCCCAGCCTTTTTCTTTCTCTCTTTGCTGCTGTAGAAAGCTGATTCTCTGTCCTCACTTGATATTGACTTTCTGTTGGGGGAAGAGTGGCTCACTGTCAAATGTATCAGCAAGTTATCCACATGCTCCCACAGCGAGTGAAGACTTGACGAGTGTGACTGCAAGACACTGTAGCCTTTTCAAGTGGTGAGAAGTGTCTCAGTAGGGCAGGGAATCTGAAGACAGAAATTCACACCCTGACAAAGGCAGCAGGATGGCTGCTTTGGCTGCTAGGGTCGGGGAGACTGGTAAATAAGACCAGAGGTTTCTCAATTAGAATATGACTGATTGTCCAGAAAGTGCTGCTCCTAGCGGGATGGAGCAGACTTTGGCAGGAAAGCCAATCTCATTTAATTATTTCCATGCTGTGGAGCTACAGGGAAGCAGAGAAGTGGCTGGTATGTACATCCACTTCCTGAGAGCCTCACCAGAAATCCACAGCTGGTTCTGAGCGTTCACCATTTACTCCAGGTTCTCCATCAGAACAGAAAAATCAACCCAGGACCTGCCCTGCAAGGCAGGCACTGCAGACCAAGTTCAGATCAGAAATCCCTATATATAACAATAAAAAATTTCACATAATTTCTCCTATGATACTGACAAGAGAAGACAGAAAGACTTGTCAATTTTCTTAAAGCTAACATGTCTCCCTGACAGAAATATCAAGGGTAAAACTTGCAAAATGGTCTTTATGTGACAGAGACTGTATTCCCAAAGGGTGAGTTTTCTAAAGCCTGTGCAGTGGTAGGATTTGAATAACAAGTAAGAGGAGCCTTGCTGGGAAGTGCTTTGCTCTAAGAAATTTGCAATGGATAGGGCTCCTAAAGAGAGCCCCAGGAGCTGGTGCAGAGGCCAGCAGGACTCTGCAGGCTAACCAAACAATTTTCTCTTGATCACTGGGTTTTCTCCACTGGATGGTAAACTGTCACAGCCTGGGTCTCTAGCTTTCAGTGTGTCTCTGAGCTGACATTATGTCCCATGTACAGTAGGATTCTGTGACTTTGAACATACAGAGTCTTAGAGAACCAAGGCAGAAGACAGACCAGTAGCTTGGTTGTAGTCTTGGTTGTAGGTGTGGGTGGCTCTTACTGTGAGAAATCCCAGTTCTGGGCCTTCCAGAATTCTCCATGATTTCAAAATGGATCTAGGTGTGACCTGTCTTCCAGGGACACTCATTCAGTGGCTGAGGCTCAAGGTTGCTTTATGTAAGTGGCATTTCTATTTTAATTATTTTATAAACAATGATATTATCATGTCAGAATGTGCAGCGATTGTAAGTAAAGCCTGAGGTAAACCCCTTTCATTGATGTGTGCTTTGCAGGTCCTTAATCATCTGCATAAAAAGCTGAAGAACATGTCAAAGAAATCAGAAGCGTCCAAGAAAAAGGTACTATTCACAAGGGGACACTGTGCCTGCCACTTTTGAGAGCTTTTCTTGTTTGTGTTTTCAATTATCTTTATATCCCCTCACAGACTGGAAAATCAGTTGCTGGAGATAGGTGTATTCATAAATCTTTAACTGCTAATGGGTAGGGTGGAGCAGAAGCCAAGTCAGGGAGGGCATAGTAGGTAAGCACAGGTAAACGGGCATGGCATTCAAACCTAGAAGCTGGCTGGGGAGGCAAGAAAAGACAAACTTTGACTCTGAGTGTCATTAGGAGGTTGGGCTAGATCTATGGTGAGTGTAAAGGGACTGAGTGGTGCAATCTGAACATTTTGCATATCGTGTGTTTAGTATTTAACATGCCAAGAGTGATTCCAAATGGTCTGACTTGATTTATACTTGAGAGAACATTGGTATCTTGCTCCCTTCAGCCCCAAGAACATCACCCTTGTTTCTTTCCTAGATATACGTTGACCTTGACTCAGCAGGGACAAAATAAAAAATGGCCGTGACCCATTCACCTTTAACTGTCTTTCTTATCTAGGGAACCTTGATTTAGTTGCTTCTTTTGAGTAATATTAAAGCCTCCAACCTTTTGAGATTCATTGAATTTTACATGTTGAATAAAAACTTTTTCACACTAGGATTAATTTCTTTCTTTCTCAGATGAATTATATATGATTTCTGGCTTTAGACAGTATAATGAGATTATTAGACAATCTGATTAAGAGAATAACAAGGCATTTTAACCCCTACACATTATCAAGGTTATCTTAAAATACGTTTTGTCCCTTTAAATACTTATTCTGATCAATTATATATGTATATAATTTATGGAAATAATAATTTAGATAATCACATTTAAATTTTCAAGTAAGGACAGATGTCCTGATATCTCAGTTTATCCATTACAATGTGGAGAAAAGCACTGTTTTTCTTTTTCTTTTTTTTTTTTTTTTCCAGTTTTGATAGATAAGGTCTTGCTGTGCTGCATTGCTGTGCTGCTCTAGCTGGCCTGGAAAGTGCCATGTAGAACAGAGTGGCTTCCAATTTGCACCTAGGGAGACCTTTTTTCTCTTCCTGGCAGCACAAAATAACTTGCATTTGGGATACCATCCTCTGGTTTTTGACCAATGCCGAAGAATAAAAAGTATAACATAATAAGACCGCCTCAGACTTCTCTCCCTGGGCCTTCTTCATGTCCCAGCTTGTAGGCCTCTCTTTATAACAGCTAAGAAAGTCTGAGCCATATAACTAGAATAAACTATGAATACCTGTCTTCTCTTCCTCTGCTTCCAATGGTGTAGTTTTATGCTTGTTTTTAGATTCTTCTAATCTATTTGAGTTTCCCCTAAGCCAGACTTCTCACCTCCGAGAGAAAATGAGGATTGCTTGTAATTTCCCCCTGGAAAGCTGTTCAGAGCATTGGTATTATACAGGAATGAGCTGAGCTCTGGGATTCTAAAAGGCACTGGCTTCCTTTAGGATCTAGCTTCATAGTGCAATGGTTGTCCAAAGGTGCTTACCAGCATGAGTGTTTGGAGATTAATATCCTTCAGAGGGCTGGGGGGAGAGGTCAGTCAGCAAGCGCTTGGCATGTATGCACAGGGAACTGGGTTTGAGCCCCAGAATCCACGTTAAAAAAATCTGGACTTGGTGGTTTGCACTTGTAATCATAGAACTGGGGAGGCAGGGTCAGGCCGAGATCCCTGTGGTTTGCTGGCCGGCTGCCTAACCTAATTAGCAAGCTATAAGCTGATGAGAATCCCTGTCTAAAAAGAAAAACAAGGTGGACTGTTCCTGAGGAACACACCTGAGATTGTCTTCTGGTTTCCACATACATGTCACTCACACACACACACACACACACACACACACACACACACACACACACATCCTTCAAGGAAGAAGAGGCTTGCTGAGGTTCGATGGAGAAGATACTACCCAGTTATGCTAAATATTTATTACCGATTCAAGAGATTTTAGTGAGTCCTGGTAGTACAGATCTGTAATCCCAGCTGCTTGGGAGGCTGAGGCAGGAAGATCCCAAGTTCAAGGTGTGCCTGGGCTACAGCATAGGTAAGCAAGCTTGAGTAGCTTAGCAAGACCCTCCTTTGTCTCAAAGCACTAAGTGAATGAAAAAGGGCTGGGGATGCAGTTCAGTGGTAGAGCCTGTGCCTCACATTCATGGAGCCTCAGATTCAATCCCTACTAATGCAAACATAACAAACAAAACAAATCAACCAGATTCTATCATTAGAATTTGAAAGTAACCTCATTTTATCAGGGAATTTGAAACTAACCTCATTTTAAAATTTTTGTTTATTATTTATTTTTATGTGTGCAAGTGTCTTGCCTGCATGTGTGTAAGTGTACCCATATATGCAATGCCCTCAGAGGCCAGAAGAGGATGTTGAATTCCCTGAAACTGGAGTTATGGTCAGTCGTTAGCAGTCATGTGGGTGCTTCGAACCAAACCAGTATCCTCTGCAAGAGCAGCCAGTGCTCATATGTGCTGAGCCATTTCTCTAGCCCATCAATTTATTATTTTTTTTTAACACTTGCTGGATCTCATTTTTGTCTGTGGCCAATTTTCACCTCTACTTGCAGAGATGTTGAAGAGAAACTGAAAAGGATCCAGACAAGAACCAAGTGCTTAAAATAAGGATGGAAGACCTTACAAGGAATGACTAGGAAGGCTTCTATTTTATTTTATAATAAACATAACAACCACTTTGTAAATGTGGGCATGTGTAAAAAGAATACATATTTATATAAAATTACCATCTGAAGAAGAAAATTTGAGCATTTGAAAAATATTTTTTTCCTCTCTTCTCACAGACTCAACTCTTCACAGCTGCTGAACAGATGTCAGATCTCTGCCGATATATTTAATTGTCTTTTTATTTGCACAGAACAAATACATATGGTGGTGAGATATGTGTGTGTCTAAGAAAGAGACAGGAAAGAGTGCAAAGGAGAGGGGGGAAGACAAAAGGGTCAAGAGAGAAGGGAGGTGATGAGAAGAGGGGAGATGGAGGGAGAAGAGACATTGAGAAAGGAAAGAGTGAGCCAGGCAGAGAGCAGTGGTGATGCAGCATCTCATCATAGAAAGTCTACTGGGGACACTTCCTAGGGTATCCTCATCAGGGCACAGATGCTTAGTGCTTGGTGTTTGATGGGTAGGAGAGGACTCTAGTGGAGATTAATGGGCTATAATACATCTAAACACTTAGTAGATGTATTCGTTTCTTTTCGTATTACTGTAACCTAATACCTGACAAAAACAACTTAAGGGAGGAAAAGTTTAGTTTGGCACAGGGTTCAAGAGGATACAGTTCATCATGATGCTAGAAGCCTAGGGTGGCTAGTCATACTGACTTCTCTTTCAGAAAGCAGAGAGGGACAGGAAATGGGGTTTGCCTAAGAAACACCAAGTTCTGCCCCCCAGTGACCCATTTCCTTTAGCTAGGCTCTACCGCAAGGTCCACCCTCAGCTGCAGACCAAGGGTGCAAACCCATGAATGTGGGGTGAAAGGCATTGTACATTCAGACCACAACAATGGAGTAATTCGATCTAGATTTTAGTGGAGAATGGACTAATGGACTAGAGATTTTGATAGTTTGCTCATTCTAACACCATTATTTTGATGTCTTCTCAGTGGCTAAGCAGAGTTTTCTTTCTGTGTGTTGCATCTGTGTTCAGGCGATGGTAACAAAAAAATATCACATAATGGGTAGCTTATAAACAACAGAAATTTATCTTCTTGTTCTGGAGGCTGGAAGTCTAGGGTCAAATGCTGGCCTGTCTGTTGAAGGCCTGTTTCCTGCTTCTTGGCCTTCTCCTGCATCCTCACATGCTAGAAGGAGTGAGGCAACTCTCTGGGCTCCTTCACAAGGACAATGATTCCACTCCTGAGGGCTCTACTCCCAGTGGCCTTGCCTCCTAATACCATCATCTTGGTGAGCAGGTTTCAGTATGAATTTGTGTGGTACAGACCTTCACATCTCCCATTCAGGGCTTTCTGGGTAAAGTTTGCCATTGAGAAGTGCTAGTTCAACCCTCCATGATAAATAGTGATTCATATATGGAAGAAAATGCAGGAAGAGGATATGATTTCTTTTCAGAAATGATAGAAAAAGCCTTATAAATGATTGAACACTTTGCTTATGCACCACTAGACAGAAAGAGATGCTTCTGGCATGATGTGACTGGGTACTAAAGCAAGAGCCTTCTGCAGGATGGGAGGGATGGCATACATGCTGGGGAGGTGCTTCCAGAGGAAACCTGATCAAAGGCCCGTTGATGTCCTACCAACTTTTGGGCTCTTTCAGCAGATGCTTTTACTGTTGCATTTTGTTTCCCTGAACTTAAAGTCATCTAGCCCGATTTCTTGTGGTCATTCATGCAACTTACGGAGGGCTTTTCATCATTCTCAGGACTCGCTTTGCTTCCCAGCTAAGTTCCATTAGGCACATTGTGAGTGAGGCTTTTTGAAGAAAAGACAGCTGTTTCAGGTTGCTTGAAAAGAACATCTCATAATCCAAGAGGGACTGCTATTTTTCAGACATGTTCAGTGTAAGGCACAAAGAGAAGCCATGCTAAAACAAAGGCTGAATCTCAAGTGTGATGAGAATTAGTGCAGAATTACTGCTTAACTTTAAAGGACTCTTCTCTATTAAAGGTAATACTGGGATTCTGTGTTCTAAATTGATGAATGATGTCAGTATGTCTCTGATAGAGACAATGGTTCTGTAAGAAATAGGGGAAGTATGTAAGGAATGAAAATAGAAAGCGTCCCCTTTTCACATAGGAACCTGTGCTACATTCTGACATTTTTCATACAAGGGAGTTTCTGTGTTACATTCTGACATTTTTTATACAAGGAAGTTTCTGTATTATACTGTGACACTTTTCATACAGGTGATTTTAAGTCACATTCTGGTGTTTCAGAAAGAAAGTGCAGAGGCAGCTCACTCTGTGCAGCTGGAATTCTTCTGCCTTTGGGAGATGTCAGTACCAAATAAAACATCTTTTATTTTCTTTAAGTTAAGGTGAATGAGATGGTTTTACTTTTATTGTGGCTTTTATGCATTTCATCAGGGATTTGATTAAGCTTCTGAGCTTATTAAAGGTAGATTCAAAGGTAACTATGCAGAAAGCATTATTCACTGAATCAGCCATGGAGACAGGGCTGAGAAGTCTGACTTAAAAACAGAAAACACTTTTACTCTGGGGTGGTGATGATGGGCTTATTGATCTACCAAAATCCTGGGGTTGAGATTAGAACGCATGTATTACTCTGAACCGAACTTTAACTTTGAGATAATGGATTTTAGATATTGCTTTCTGATTTTGATAATGGGGAAGCAATCATGTGTCAAGAAGGGCAGTTTCTTACCAGGGCAGAACTCCTCCTGTCAGTCTCAGCACTTCTTAACTCTGCTAGCATTTGTTGCAAGAGAAAAAAAAGTGACAAGCAATGGACATCAACTCTTTCCAGCCACACGTATGGGACTATCTGGCTCTTTATCTGTGGCTGAAGTGGCGAGAACCCAAAGACTAGGACCAAGACCCAGGGCTTGTGTGCAGGGCACTGACACGTGAGTCAGCTGAGGGCATCAACTTCAGGGGACTTAGGTGCTTAATGAAACACGCAGGAAACAGCCACTTCTCAGAGTCCCAGCTGGACCATCATGGTGCTCAGGCGCATTCTATTAAGCTTTCTTAGGAGCAGCCCTAGGTAGATAGATGATGGTTTATATAAATTATTCACCTAGTATTCTTTTATTTATTTATTTATTTTGGTCTTTTTGAGACAAGGTCTTCCTATAGCCCCAGCTGGCCTAGAACTTACTATGTAGACCAGGTTGGTCTCAATCTCACAGAGATCCACCTGCTTCTGACTCCTGAATGCTGAGATTAAAGTCATGTGCCATCATGCCTTGCACATCTAGTATTCTTTCCCAAGAAAGAATTTTGTATCAAACCAGTCACGTTCAAAGCTTTCAGTTGACTAAGTAAAAGAAACAGACTATTATCCATGTTTTTGAGAAAACTAGAAGGATTACAAAACTTTAGAGGCGAAGTCTGGGTAAATCACAAGTACTCAGAGAAACAAATGCCCTAAGGAATATTCTGCACTCAGGACATGCTGCTGTTTGTCTTTTGGGTCTTGTTAAGATATGGATCTCACCAATAAGTTTTGGGGGTCTGTAACTGTCAGAAGCTTTGCACTTAGTAAATATTTACTAAAAGAAGCAATGACATGGAATATTGACAGGGTGAGAGTTTTTGCAGAGAGATGGTTTGGTCGGCTTAGAAAGAAGAGGCTATGTTCTCTATTGTGGGTATAATCATTTCTAGATTGTTTGATTAAATCACCTGCGAATGGCAGTTCTCATACACTAATGGACAAATGGATTGATAACAAACACTCCCTTAATATGTGTGAGCTAATTATGTTTGTTCTGTGGGCCATGAAGTAACTAAACTTAATATGTAAGCTTTCACTCTGAAACATCTGCCTGTTGAGTTTTTAATAGCTCAGCTGTTTTAGTGCTCACATGGTCCGGGTATAATCTGGGAGTCATTTTGTTGGTTTATTTCCTTTGTTAATGATGAAATAGAGTCCTGGGGAGGTTATATCAACTTTCAAAGATCATAGACAGACCTGTTGTCAGGCCTGGGGTCTTACAAAATCCATGATGCCTCCTGATAATAAGTTTAGCTCTTTTCCTGTTCCTCCAGCCTGCTGGTGCTTGCTGCCTTTGACTGCAATCCAGCCACCTCCCTTTGCCCCCGTCTACCTTTTCCGACTGAAGTCTAGGCATTGCTTCATGGTTTTCAACCCTTCTTATTGATAAACTTCTGCTGGTGTCTTAGTTTGCTATTGAGCATTAGTCCTGGAGGCATTGACACCATAAATTATATTCCAGGCTTCACATTCTAGAACAATAGGATTCCCTTTCATGAAAAGCAATAAAAGAAGTCCCTTTTTTTCCACGTAGAATGTCTCCTGTCAGCAGTGTCTTTTAAGAAAGTCTTTGAAAGTTTAGGCCCTGCCCTCTAGTTTCATGGCCACTTGGGAAGTCTTGTCCATGTACATAGTACTGAAGTGTCCAGCATAGTGAGTACATGTTTCCTTGTGTTGAGTTCATGAGTCAGGGACAGTTTCCTCCTGCCACCTGCTCAGTAGAAGTCGGTAGAGACACAGAAACTCTTCCTCAGATTTCTGACTTTGTGATTTAGGAGCAAAAAAGGGGGAAGGTCAAGGTTAAGTCAGTGAACAATGGTCCAAAGACTGTACCTGGAGCAGCTCTGTGAGTGAGACACATTATCAGTTTCCCAAACACTAAGGACTTGTCTTTACCAATGCTTACTGAGGAGAAACTAACACCTCCTACTTGTTTGTGAGGATAGGTGCTTGTTGCAAAGTTCAGTGTTTGTCTGAGCTCCAGGCTGGTGAGAGAACTTGGTGAATACACACTGGAAGAGGTTTGCTGCTCCTGTTCTTCTGTTTTATTGAGACGGGGTCTTGTTATATAGGCCAGGCTGGCTTGGAGTTCTCCATTTTGTCTGCCTACTCTCTTGAGGGCATCACCATGCCTAGCTGGTAGAAGAATTCTGTTAGTTTAAGTAAGAGTCATTAACCTTTATCTGCTTCTAGCCTCATGACTCTTGAGCATGCTTCCCACAATTCACACATACTTTACACTTGCCACAAAAATCATGACTGTAGGTAGGTAGGTAATGACAGATCTTGCAATTATGAATGAAAGGGTGGGTATAAGATTTCTCACTTTTATTTCATCCCATGAAAGTATGTGTGAATGATCTTAGGGTCTATTTTATGATTCTGGATTCTTCTGACGCAATTGGTACATTCATGCATATCATGCCCCTCCCCCAACTCCTCTCTTCCAGACAGCACAGACCGTCCTGGTGGTCGTTGTGGTGTTTGGCATTTCCTGGCTGCCTCATCATGTCATCCACCTCTGGGCTGAATTTGGAGCCTTCCCGCTGACCCCAGCCTCCTTCTTCTTCAGGATCACCGCCCACTGTCTGGCATACAGCAACTCCTCGGTGAATCCCATCATCTATGCTTTTCTCTCAGAAAACTTCAGGAAGGCCTATAAGCAAGTCTTCAAGTGCCACATTCGCAACGAATCATCTCTCAGTGATACTAAAGAAAACAAGAGCCGAATAGACACCCCACCATCAACCAACTGCACTCACGTGTGAAAGTTCCCTGGGGCCTCCTGTCATCCATCCAGTTCCTGTGTGGACCATAGAGAAGACACAGACGGTACCATACAGTATAGCAGCTTGCTCTCCCAACAACAGTTCATATAAATTTAACTATATTCTGCAGCTGTTTAAGTACTTTGATCCCTTTAGGGAACTCCTAGGTCAACTGAAGATTAGTTTTTAACTTTATTTCATTTTAAAATTATATCTCTGAAACAAAAGAAAATGCTGTATAGTTTTATATCCTTAAGGAGTGAAAGTTCAATAGCATTCTATAGGCATGGCCAGGTCTCCGTAAATACAGTTCCATAAAATGGTGAAGAATATTTGAAATTTACATTTTAAAGTCAATTATTTAGAAAAAGTGCTTCAGTTTAGAGAGAAGGGGAAATATAAGCTGTACGTTTTGAAATACAATTGTGGATGCAGAGGTGAGTTTTTTTCCTTTTGACCTCATGGACAGGCATCTCTGCTGAATGGAAGAGGCTTTTTGAAGTCTGTTCACACAAGTGGCTATGGCCCCCAGTTGTACGCAGCGAACAGGGCCTCAGAAGGCACACTGGGTCTGAACATGAGACCCACCAAGTTCACCTCAGGAGGCCAACAGTGGCTGTACTACAAGACTATCCTTTTACCTGGGAGGTTTAGAGTGAGCTCAGCAGGACCACTGTCAGACAGAGGCAGCTGAGGGCAACTTCTGAGAAAGAAGCTCCTGCAGCTCTAAGACCACAGCTGGGAAAAGTATGGAGCCAGTAAAACCAGGGGCCGGAAAAAGTCAATGAAAAGGGCGTGGCCAGTAAGCTCTATAGGGTTGAAGACTGGACCAAACTAGTTAGCCAAATGGGTAACCTCCAGGCCACATGGAGAAAGGAAGGTAGACATTTGATTCGGGGATCATTCAGCCATATACACCCTGTGCAAGAGTATGCCTAAGGACATTCTGTCTCTTACCAACAAATGTTTGGATCTCATTTTCCCCAAATATCATTCCCCATTGTAATGTTAATTTGGAGTTGGAAATCCTCACTACTTGAATTAACATATTTAGTTTTCATGAAAGTTTCTTATTGATTTATGTTTTCCTTAAGAAAATGCTATGAAAATACCGAATTGTCCCCTATTAGAAGAGTAATGTTCAGATTCAAGACTTTCGTATATTTCAGAAGGCGGCAAAACAAGACTTTTTTTTTTTTTTTTTTTTTAGCGAAAAAGGAATTTGTGCCTGTCTTAAATCAGTTCTCTCTATGAAGTATCAAAGTTAGGTTAAAAACCAAATTTAACATAATTCTTCGGCATGTTAACTTCTAGGCCATCATTTTTTTTTCGAAACTATACCCCAGTGAACAGTGCTTATGTGCCTAAGCACATTGTCTGGACAGAAAAGGGAAACTTAGAATTATGGGAAAGAATGAGTTTTCCATGTGCTACTAGGGAAAGAAGTGGCACACAGGTGTAGGTGGGTATTTTAAAGAACGTTTTAAGTTCTTTGCATGGAATTTGTTTTTGCACTTTACTCAATGTTGGAGCAGACATATTTCATCTTGATAAAGATACATCGTGATTTGTGGAACTTGAAGCTGCCTTGCAAATGTGGGCATACCTTTTTCATGCATGAGTTCATACTGTATACACAGGTGCCCCAGTTAAAGCTGGACTTGTGGGAGGGAAAATGATTTCTTGGGCTGTAGTAATTCCCTTGCTCTCTTTTGGTTGAAGACACCTAGATTCAAGTGTTAAAAAATACCACAGCTAAGACTGTACTTGTTTAGAAGGCAGATTGAAATGGGTTTTGGTGGGAGGTAGTCACAGGAGTTTATGGCTCAGTCCTTCCCAGACGACTGCATCTAAAGACCAGGGGTACAGCTAGGAAGTGACACCTTGTACCTGTACGCAGCAGATTTGCCAGACACAGATGCACACTGCATCATGTCCCCAGTAGATGGACCGACCATTCTTCCTGCATGCTCTCATTCTAATCAGTTCACCTTGGCTTTGAGCTTGAGTGTACTTCTAAAACAGCTATGACCCTAACAATCCCTAACAATGGTATATTTCCTGAAAAGACAGGAGACTGAATGGAGCACTCTGGATGGTGTGTCCCTGAGACGTGGGACAGATCAGTCATCCAGAGGGATGCAGGAAGAACCTGTAGATGTGCTAGGCTTTTTCCAAGGTGGCTTTTGCAATAAGTGAACAGCACACCCAGTTTGGAAGCACTTTCCAAGCCTGCACTGGATAATGGTGGCCTCCAGGCATAGCCAGGAACCTTCCTAGAGTCAGAAGGGAAAGTGTGTGGACCTTTCAAGTGAGGTGGGTGCAGAGCTCTGCTTTTCAGGGTTTCTCAAAGAAAATTGATGCTTTCTCCATTTCCTGTCTTGGCACCCCCATAGAGCATCTATTTCATGGATCTTTACTTTTAGGCAGAGAGATGTGTACAAGAAAATAAAAATAGATGGACTGCTTGCTGTTACACACACACACACACACACACACACACACACACACACACACACACAGACTCCAATTCCAGTTTCCCACCGAGTACAGTCTGAAGCTCTATTAAGATACCAGGAGGTTTCTTGCTCTATGCTGTTGTTCTCAGCAGTGTGGGGGACTGATGCTCCTTTCTTTTTTTTAGGGAAATTATTTTGTTTTTAATTAAATTGTTATATTTTTCACCCTGGGAGGAGAATCATTTTCTGGCTCCCTTTGTGCATCTTTTCACTTTTATCCTTTTGTCTCAACTTCCCGCCTCTTCAGAAATCCTCACCCTATGTTTTCCACAGTTCAACTCCTCCTTCACCAGGGTATGATGGGTCAGAGTGGAATGGATGGCTGGTGGCTGGGTTCATGAGTCATACAAATCCTGGAGCTGCTTTAAATAACAGTGTAGCAGACCGCTGCTTTTACTCAGATCTCAGGCGCAGGAGGTACAGCTGTGAAAATTTCTCTCTGCTGACTAAAACCCCCAGGTTGGGATGTTTCTGGCAGGAGAGGACTGCCCACCTAGGCACCTGCTTCTTTCTACACTTGGCAGTGGAACCCTTGAGCACCACAGTGTGACTTCATCATGCTCTTGGCTTTAAAGGATTTGTTAGCTACACGTATATAAATTACTCAGGCATGAGAACTGGAGAAATGCATTTCCTGGGGAAACAGCCGTTTCATCTACGCTGCTTGCAATATTCGTCATGTCTTCAGTTTGTGAGTGGCTACCAGGAAAGGAAGTCAGACCCTTGGCCATTAAAAATATTACATGCTAGATTTCTTCTTGATGAGACATTAATAACATGTTTAATTAATAACTTCTTTTATTACTATACACAGTAAGTAGTGATCAAAAACATTGCTTGTTGACTTGGGAGTGGTAATTGTATCTGGTTTAAATTTATATAGTATTTGAAAGTATTCCCTTTTAAGTGGGGAAGTTGAGCCTGAAGAGCCATTTAAAATCCCCATGTCTTAGCTATGGGCTGCTTCTGAGTAAGGCAAGTGTGTCGCAGGTCATGTGTCATCACATGTTGGTCAAGAGGTTCTGCTGTTTCCTTGAGCACATACCCTGTCTCTGATTCTATCTGGTGGTTCTTAGTGTGGCAGGATGCTTGGATGCTGCTCTGGGGGTCTGCGGTCATCCTGTCTATGTGCTGATGAGATGTGCAGGAACGGCCACAGGCCTATATGCTTGCTTCTTAACTGGCTTGGTACCTGCTATGCACTGGCTCCATCAACCCTGTCACTTGCCTCATGAGCATTTGGGCTCTGGGGTGCTGTACCGGGTGCAGTAACAGTGGCAGAGCCATGCATGAGGGAGGGGAAGGGAAGGGGAGTGAGCTTTCCACCTCTGCTTATTTTGTGGAAAGGACTCGGGCTGGATTTTCCATATCTACACAGCACTGGCTATGACTATGAGGGTAAGAAAGCTGCATGAGAGCCCTCCCATAGCTTCAGCTTTTGACTTTACCTTGGGCTGCAAGCTTGATCTTTCTGTTGGAGAACAGGTTTCAAGATACCTCAGGTTACACTGTGTAGCTTTGGCTTTTCAAAGCAGCTAAGAGACATCTGGATAATGAAAAGACATTGGATCTGGGCTCCACCACTCCTGTACTGTAGAGCTTTGGGTATGAGGATCAGTGTGATTACCCCTAAGTTGGCTGAACTTTGAGATCTATAGATTTCTATGGGACAGTGCCTACTATGGTACTATATTTTTAAAAATTAGACCTGGATTATTAAAGCCTGCTTATTCATGTGTTATCACTCTAAAGATGCCTGTGGATCTGTGAAGCTGTTTTTCTACTTTAGTGAGCTTGTTGTGGATACTGAAGCTGCCTAGGTACATGCTGAGTGATGGGAGAAATAACTGCTCAATCTAGACTCTGGGTAGTGCCTTCTATACACATCAGTGTGGGCCAGCCTTGTGGGGTACAGTTATCCATGTAGCCTACCGGCCAATGTGCCCAGGAAGAAAAGAAGAAGTCTGAAAGTGACTGGAATCAATGCCAGTCCTGGGGCTTCTGAGGGGATTTTATGGATCAGGATCCTGGGATTCCTGGGGAGGCACAGATCAAGTCGTGCTTAAAGCATTGCTGAACTACTGGGGAAACCCCAGATGTTCAGGGCTGGCTTCTGGGGCTCTACCACTTCCAGGGAACTCTCTGGGGATTGGGGGCCATGCAGGGCAGGGGGAGGAGACTTGACCAAGGAGCCTTTGTGCCCCTCCTCTCAGTCTAGTAAATGATTTCTGGATGAGCCACCTGCAGGCATTTGTGGACTATTTCACTGAAAATGAGAGAACATTCAGTCCAAATGATGTGCGTTCCTTGTCCATGTTGAATTGTTCTGGTCCTTTCGCATACACTGCTTCTCAAATGTGTTGCCCTTGATTGCTGTCTCCTGCTCTTTACTTAGAACTAGCCATGTTTTCACCCTTGTGTAGATTCTGTCAGTGTGGCGGGATATCCGAAGCCTTGGCCCACGTCTCCCACATCCTCATTATTTTTTCTGGGTTTCTGATTCTTCCTGGCTATTCTTTCAGTACTTATTTTTTAAACAGAAAAGTGTGAGAAATACAGGCTTTAGGAGCAAATTGTTTTATGTTATCACCAGTAGCTAATCAATTCTCTGCCAGAGGTAATTGAACAAGAACAGGCCAGGGCATGGCTGACCTGACAACCCTCTGGTAGGGAGCTAGACACCCCCTCCCCCCAGCTTGAGGGTGCTACACCTCTGAGAACTCATTTGTGATGTGTTGGGTGGGCATCTGAAATGCAATGACTCTGTGGTGGAGGTGTGCCAGACAGATGAGCCAAATCCCAAGTCCAGAGTCCACTCCCTGCACCAGCAGGGTCTCCTGGGCGGGGCCCACTGCCCTGTGACCTGGAGGCCCTGAACTGATTCTCTTTGCCTGTAACTGACTGTACATCTCAAAGGAAGTGTGAGAGATTCCTGAGTTTCTGTAACTCCTTGGGGGTGTTCTTCCTGACGTGCCACAAGAGAAGGTAAGATGTACTTTCCTAGGGCCCATGGGTTTCCTGTTGACCTTGAGGAAGGACTCAGAATCAGAGTGCTACACTGGAGTCTTACTGTTGAACTTGGCCACTGTAGGTGTTGCTGGTTAAACAAAGTCTCCAATTAGAAACTCTGAGTCCAAGCGGGCAGAAATAGAAGGGGTTTCATCTTATTAGAAAGAAAGGATTCATTGTAAGTGAGTGTTTGCTTGGACAATATTGTGAGAGCCACCAAGCTTTGAGTATGAGAAAGTGTTTTTCAGACTGAAAGCAAGCTGTGTTTTGTTTTCCAGAGATGCAGCTAAAGAAGTCAATTTCCATGTGCAAGCTCAGTGTCAGGCAGGGACGCACAGGCATGCTCAGGGGTTTGTGCCCCGGGTCTCACAGACCACAGAGGAACTGGTTCATTGCGGATACGGAGGGAATAAATAAGTCTTGGGTTTGAGGTATTCTTCTAAACACAACATGAATAAAAGATCAAACATAACAACTCCTTTGAAATGAAATCAAATTATAATACAGAAATAATCACAAGAGGTGGATATGCAAGTGCTATTTTCTATGATTTAATTTTCTAGTGTTCCATCTTAGGTCCTTATATCATAGGGAGACTGGAAAGCTGACAGAAGGGGCAGACATCCGACTCCATGCATGTTGTTGAACAGCTCTGCATTTCTCAGATTCCATCTGTCTGTCCGAGCCAGTCAAATACACTGCAGGAAGGAGTGTGGATGGAGGACTCCCTTTGGGTCTAAATTTTTTTGGCAGTTGCTCTTGAAGGTACTGTGTTAGGTATCCTCATCTCTAAAAGAAGGATCTGTAAAAGACAATCCCAAATTACCTGCCCCTGACTGAGCTGGGAGGACCAAGCCAGTACCCTGCTTTCCCTTCCCTGGGAGCAGAGGGCCTGGGGTTTCATGGGGGAGCTCAAAGTGTGGCCTTCCAGACCAGCCTTATCCTGCAGGTGAATGGGAGAGGGTGAGGCTGGGAGCATGTTTCTACATGCTTTCTGTGATATTATGCTGCTCATCTAAGGCCACATGGCTTCTAGATCAGAAGGTGTTTTTCTAGCCCCTGGGCATTTTAGGTATGTGATCTAAGGCCTCCACATCAGAGCTGAGAATGATCTATGCTGAGTGATGGGCATCTAAGGGCTCTACTGCCATGGTTCTGGGCGAAAATTGAGTTGATATGGATTTAAATAGCTGTGAATTCCTACTGTTTACATTGATCAGATTCTTCATACCCCTTCAGCTATTGCATTGTGGCAGCCACAGAAATGTAGGACTCCAGAGCGTGAGAGACTGCAGAGATTATAAGTTCTTCCTCAAAAGAATAAAGACTTTGGTGGCAAAGGACACTTTCTCTCCCCCCTGCAACATGAAGATTGTTCCTAATGTTACATATGAATTTTTCAAATCAGTGTTTTAGTTCATTATTAATTAAAAAGGTGCATGTCTTTGCCTACATTATTGTCTCCAAGAGATAAATAAAATGTTATCTGTAGTCCTCTAGAATTAAAGCTTTTGGTTAAATAACTAAGTAGTAAGAGTGAAAAAAAAATCCTGTATACTGTAATTTGACTTTTACTAATGAGAATGCTTAAATGTTGCTATTAAACACTGGCTGTGAGTTATCTTATGCTTGATGCTGCTGTAATTGTTCCTTAAAGAGCTGGCTATCAAATGCATCTCATAATAAAAGCCCTAGCATGAATGCCAGCCAGCTTGCAAAGCCAAACCAAAGTTCAGAGTCTCTGTTAACACACCTACTACCAAACACAGTCTTTCGACTGTCCCTCCCTCCACCCTCACGTTCTGCGTGGACTCTGTCTGTACTTTGTAATTTGAATCGATTTTCAAATGAAAATAAAATTTGTTCTTTGAAGTGTTCCAATTTGAGTGTACATTTTTTTTACAACTAGATTGAAATTGTGTCTTTTTTGTTAAGCTTTTCCCTAAGTGTGGGAATCTAATAAAAAGTTGTTGCATGGAATGAGTTTAATTACTACTAAATGTCGCTATGGAAAATTTACCAAGTCATTTTGGTGGAAAGTTGACATGTCTGTTTGTAAATGCTTTTGCTCTTTTCCTCCTCCTCTTTCTTTTTTTCTGTTCTTTATTTTTATTTTTGGTTTTGTTCTTTTAAATATTTTATTATCTTTTTATTATGTATATATGTGTGTCTGGGGGCATGTGCATGTGAGTAGATGTCCATAGAGTCCAGAGGAGGGCATTGGATTCCCTGGAGCCGCAGTGACAGGCAGTTGTGAGCTGCCTGACATGAGTGTTGGAAACCAAATTTGTGCAAATGCTCTTAGCCACTGAGTCATGTCTCCAGCCCCACTTCTTTCTTTTTAAAAGATTTATTTATGTATTTGTGTGTGTGTGTGTGTGTGTGTGTGTGTGTGTGTGTGATGTGAATCTATGTGTCCCATGTGTGTGCAGGAGCCTGTGGAAACCAGAAGAGGGCACTGGATCTCCTGATACTGGAGTTATGAGGTTGCAAGCCACCATATGGCTTCTGAGAACTGAACCAGAGTCCCTTGCAAGAGCAGTAAGTGCTCTTAACTGTTGAATCATACCCACTCTTTAGTCTTAAACGTAATAAATTATCTTGTTTTTGTAAAATTAAGGCAAAATTACAACAAGAAATTACAGAAAAGAAAGTAAACGCTCATTGCAAAGTTTGTTACCAGGTCTTAGCTACCAGTATTGTCTTGTCAACTTCCTTCTGTTCACGGTTCCAGTGAGCAGGAGTGACACGGAAGGATGGAAGGGGGAAAAGGTAGAGGTGGACTTTATAGCAATTGGGTCATTGATGCATACTGTTTATAAATACAATCCTTTGTGTTAACTTGTGTTTGGGGCACACTGTATTGTTGATGTCCACAGTCACCTCCCAGGTCCCGGCACATCAGGACTCCTTGTTCCCATAGAACTGTGACTTTGTACCTGTTGTGCTAGTATTTCCCCATTTCTTTTCTCCCAGCTTCCTGGCCCCTGGTCACCCCTCTTCACTCTTCACTCTCAGCTTCTTCAAGATGAACTTGTGTAGAGTTCACACATGAGTGTGATCTGGCATTTGTCTTTCAGTGTCAGGCTTATTTCATGTAATACAATACCTTTCAGATTCATGCCTGCCAGGACAAAAGACAAGATTTCACCTTTTTTATGACTGAGTATCATTCCATTGTATAGCGAATATAATTTTCTTTATCCATTCATCTGTTGATGAATGAACACTTAGGTAAATTTAATCTGTGGGCTATTGTGAATAGTGTTGCAGTAAATATGGAGGCAGATGTCTCTTTAATAAACTGATTTAATTTCCCTTGGATACATGCTCAGGTGCATTCATTTCCTTTTTGTTGCTGTGATAAAATATCCTGAGAAAACCAACTTGAGAAAGAAAAGGGTTTATTTTGACTTATAGTTCCAGAGGGATAGGGTCCATCATGGTGGGGAAGACGTGGCAACAGGACGGGAAACGTGGCCACAGGAGCAGGAAGCAGGTTGATAACACTGCCTCCCCGCTCAGGAAGCAAAGCAAGAACAGCAAGTGGGATCAGGCTATAAAACCCCAAACCTGCCCTCAGTGATGCACTTCCTCTTATGAGGCTCTACCTCTTAAAGGTAACTGTGAGAGATGATGGACTTGTCAACTTGCTTAGCTGCTGGCATCACTTAACCATGTAGAAATATATCAAGATGTCATCTTTTATATCTTAAATATGTACTGTATCAAAATGTAAGTTTTATACACCATGACCAAGTAAGGTTCATTCTAAGGACATGAGTCTAGATCACTGTTCAATATCGATCAATGTGTACTACCTCATCAATACTCTGCTGAAATATGCTAATAGATACAGAAGACATGTTGGACAAAATCCAATGCCCATTCACTATAATAAACTCAGAAAGTTAAGAATAGAGGAAACAGGTCAAGTGTGGTAGTGAACCCCTTTAATCTCAACACTCAGGTCCTAAACTCTGTGAGTTCAAGACCAGCCTGTTCTACGTAGCAAGTTCCAGGTCATCAAAGGCTATATAGTGAGACCCTGTCTCAAAAACCAAAAAACCAACAAAACAAAACAACAGAGGAAATGTCTGAATTTGATAGATTGCATCTAAAAACTCATGGTTCACATTATAGTCATTGGAAAAAGATTGGACACTTTTCCCTTCCAGCTAAGGAAAAGTCAAGGTTGAAATAAAAAGGCTCTTCTTCTTAACATAGTGTGAAAGCTGTAGCCACTGCAATAGGCAAGAAACGACAGCCACAGATCAAGGGCAAAGGACTGAATTGACTCTATTTGAAGTTGACAGGATTGCCTATGTAGAAATTCTCTCAGACCACAGAGAAAACTCCTTAAATGGCTAAAAACTTTCAGCAAAGTCATAGCATAAAAGATCAAGACATAGAACACGAAATGAAAACTTATAGTGAGTCAATTACATTTAGGCAATTTGTATTTTGTCAAAGTACAATTTGCAGGCATTTGTGTGAGATGTGTTCTTTATTTGATAATGCTATACTGAAACTTCAGAGCTCTCATCTCAAATTTAGAGACTTTGATTGCAGTCTTAAAGTAGAAGACTTGGCCATGAGCTACCAGATCTGACCTCCAATTCTTCACAGTCTGGTGTTTCTATCATGGCCATTATTAGAAGGTCAATGAGTTAAACTCTACTTAGAGTTCAAGGGATGCTTTTTAACGTTGCCTGCTCCACAGAAAGTCCTTATGCTTAGCTCTGTAAAGCAGTGCCAGATATTTCTTTTCCACTTCCTGTCATGATTTTATTTAGTGAGAGGAAACTCTATATTATCCTTCAGCATTATACACAAATTTTATGATTTTTCCCTTTAAGTACGTGAGGAAGATTTGGATCTAGGGACTAGAGAGATGGCTCAGCAGTTAAGAGCACTGGCTGCTTTTGCAGAGGACCTGGGTTAGAATCCCAGTACCCACATGACAGCTAACAACCATTTGTAACTCCAGTTCCAGGGGAACTGATACCCTCTTCTGTCCTCCATGGGCACTCCATGACATGGGTATACTTGTGCAGATTTAACACTCATACACATAAAATAAAAATGAATAAATAAATAAAAATTTAAAAAAAGATTTTGATCTATAGGAGTTATCTACTGCTAAGACAATTAAACAAAAATTATTGTAATTATGTTTGGAGTAGATAATATTTGTAGGTAATTTATGGTTCTTTTAAATGAAAAGTATTTATTTAAAAGTGAATAGACTTTGCAGTTAAGAGAAAAATTATGACTTCAACAAGCCATTTAATAATGTGTTTTCTGGGGACTGGCGAGATGGCTCAGTGGTTAAGAGCACTTGCTGCATTCCCAGAAGATTGGAGTTTGGTTCCCAGCACCCACATCAGGTGGCTCATTGTTGCCTGTAACTCCAGTTCCCTGTGGGGGGGGGGCTCATTTGTCTTCCGAGGGTATTTGGCATGTGGGCATACTAGCATGATCACACACATACATAAAAATAAAAAGGTGTCAGAATCCTGTGAAATCTCTTCCTGGAAGATGAGTTTCTCCTCTGTCTGGTACCAGGGCCCCAGACTTTTCTTTTTCCCAGAATGAGATTCCTAGGGAAATTCCAATTTTTTTTGCGGGGGGGGGGGTGTGTCATCTTTCCAATAGCTTGATATCCAAAGAGGGGAGTAGAAGTGTTGAGTATTTTCATTTCTTCCAGGAATGTCACATTAATGATATTTTGAAATCTTTTACTACGGAGACAGAAGGGCTGAAATCCTGTATGTAGGGCATCTATCAATGAGGCTGTATGCAGTGTGGTCTATCTGTCCCAGTCCCCTGGTAGCATACCCTTATCACACTGGCTTCCACCAGGAGCTCCTCTTTGCCTTACATGATGGCCTTGTGTCAGCTGTGTCCATCAGGATGTCACTGGGTTCCTTTGACGGGTTGCACACTTGGATAACCAGGGCCTGTACCTGTCTTTCATGGTTTCAGGCCCTTCTCCTCACACCTGTAGTTCCTCTGTTCACCTGTCCTGTTGTTGCAGAACCACTGCTGTGTTCGGTGAAGAATCACATTAATGTTTGTGGATGGGACAGAGCATCTATGACATCTTTTCATATAGGCAGCAGACTTGATGGAGGTAGATCACACCCTTGTCTTTGTCCTGTCACATTGGTTGCTATACTAATAGGGCTTTGAGAGATACTATAGGGGATTTCTTTCTCTGAAGGTGGTGAGCCCTCTGTTCTGGGATACCCTTCAGTCCTGGTGCAATTGTTTCTGGACAGATGTTGTAACATACCCACTAAAATATTTTCTAACTTTAAGATTAAATGATTCTGCAGTTGTGACATTTAGGCCACAGGTACTGTCTTCAGAAAAAAATTGGGGGGATGGGGATGGAAAGATGACTCAGTGGTTAAGAGCGCTTGTTGCTCTTTCAGAGGAACCAAGTTCTGTTCCAGTACCCAAGTTGGGCAGCTTACAAACTGCTTGTAACTCCAGCTCTAGGGGACCTGATGCCCTATTCTGGTCCCCTAGGCACCCACATACAAATGGTATACACACACACACACACACACACACACACACACACACACACACAGATATATAAACATACATAAAAATGAAAAAATAAGAAAAAAAATCTTGTGGCTATTTTTATATGAATAGTGCTATCCTGAGGAATCTATCTTTTTTAAAAAACCATTCTTGTCTTATAAGCTAAAATTACTAAATCTACTCCTGGTTTTTGTCCTATTATGTAAGATGTGATTTGAACATGTCTGACCATATGGGGTTAACTGTGAGAGGAGGAAATAATAGAGAATGAAAGAAAAGTCTTTAATATATACATTTAAATGGCATTCTAACCTCAG